CTCGTCTGACCCACCTAAGAGCTTGCACTATGGGACGACTTTTGCATTAGCACCTGTTTATGCCAAGTGCTACATGGGTTGGGAGTGTTATGGTGGGGGCAGGAATAGGGGAGATAATCCTGCCCTCAGGGTGCTGTACTGTCTAGATGAGCACCTTCTAGGAATTTTTTTTTTTTTTTTTGAGACAGAGTCTCGCTCTGTCACACAGGCTGGAGTGCAGTGGCGTGATCTCGGCTCACTGCAACCTCTGCCTCCCAGGTTCAAGCAATTCTCCTGCCTCAGCCTCCTGAGTAGCTAGGACTACAGGCATGCGCCACCACGCCCAGCTTTTTTTTTTTTTTTTTTTTTTGGAGATGGAGTCTCGCACTGTCGCCCAGGCTGGAGTGCAGTGGCGTGATCTCAGCTCACTGCAGCCTCTGCCGCCCAGGTTCAAGCAATTCTCCTGCCTCAGCCTCTCGAGTAACTGGGATTACAGGTGCCTACCACCACGCCAGGCTAATTTTTATATTTTTAGTAGAGATGGGATTTCACTATGTTGGCCAGGCTGGTCTTGAACTCCTGACCTTGTGATCCACCCACCTTGGCTTCCAAAGTGTTGGGATTACAGGTGTGAGCCACTATGCCTGGCCTTTTCTTTTTTCTTTTCTTTTTTTCTTTTTTTTTTTTTTTTGAGACGAGTCTGGCTCTGTCGCCCAGCTGGAGTGCAGTGGCCGGATCTCAGCTCACTGCAAGCTCCGCCTCCGGGTTCACACATTCTCCGGCTCGCTCCGATAGCTGGACTACAGGCGCCGCCACCTCGCCGGCTAGTTTTTTTTTCTTAATAGAGACGGGTTTCACCATGTTAGCCAGGATGGTTTCGATCTCCTGACTCGTGATCCGCCGTCTCGGCCTCCAAAGTGCTGGATTACAGGCTTGAGCCCGCGCCGCTTTTTTTTTTTTTTTTTTTGTGTGACAGTTTCTTCTTGCCCAGGCTGGAGTGCAGTGGCATGGTCTTGGCTCACTGCACTCCTGAGTTCAAGCGATTCTCCTCTCTCAGCCTCCCAAGTAGCTGGGATTAACAGGTGCCCACCACCACGCCTGGCTAATTTTTGTATTCTCAGTAGAGATGGGGCTTCACCATGTTGGTCAGGCAGATCTCGAACTCCTGGCCTCAGGTGATCTACCCACCTCAGCCTCCCAAAATGCTGGGATTACAGGCTTGAGCCACTGTGCCTGGCCCCTTCTAGGACTTTTATTTTATTTAGAGATGGAGTCTTGCTCTGTTGCACAGGCTGGAGTGCAGTGGTGCGATCTCAGCTCACCACAACTTCCTCCTCCTGGGTTCAAGTGATTCTCCTGCCTCAGCCTCCCAAGTAGGCTAGGACTACAGGGTCGTACCACCAGGCATGGCTAATTTATGTATTTTTAGTGGAGACAGGGTTTCGCTATGTTGGCCAGGCTGGTCTCAAACTCATGACCTTGTGATCCTCCCACCTTGGCCTCCCAAAGTGTTGGGATTACAGGCGTGAGCCACTGCACCCGGCCTGTAGGAATTTTAAAAACTATCTCTGGCTGAGAAATACCAGGCCAGGTTGGAGATGAGAGCCATCAGAGCAGCAGGTCCCTTGGCACCCCTGAGCTCTCCCTTCTCTTCCCCGCAGGCTATGACTTTGCAGCTGTCCTGGAGTGGTTCGCCGAGCGTGTGGACCGCATCATCCTGCTCTTCGACGCCCACAAGCTGGACATCTCCGATGAGTTCTCAGAAGTGATCAAGGCCCTGAAGAACCATGAGGACAAGATCCGCGTGGTGCTAAACAAGGCAGACCAGATCGAGACACAGCAGCTGATGCGGGTGTATGGGGCCCTCATGTGGTCCCTGGGCAAGATCATCAACACCCCCGAGGTGGTCAGGGTCTACATCGGCTCCTTCTGGTCCCACCCGCTCCTCATCCCTGACAACCGCAAGCTCTTTGAGGCTGAGGAGCAGGACCTCTTCAAGGACATCCAGTCTCTGCCCCGAAACGCCGCCCTCAGGAAGCTCAATGACCTGATCAAGCGGGCACGGCTGGCCAAGGTAGACCCCAGGGTGAGGGGAGCAGCCTATTGCCAGGCAGGGCCGTGGGGCTCTGAGATGGGCACTCAGGGCCCCGGGATTGCCCGAGACCCATCCCAGCTCACTGCACAGGCAGACCTGTGCTGCGCTGTTTCCCTCTGCAGAAACCAGTCTTTGGTCAGCACCCGCGTGCAGCCTGCTCTTAACTAAGATTCTCCACCCGGCCTCCCTCTAAACCTGTTCTGTGTGTGGTTTATGCCCCATCTACTTTCAAGAAGGGTTTGACTATGCTTACAACACAGAAACAGCACACAGGAAGTTACCGCTGAAGCAAAGGAGGCAGCCTCAGAAATGGGGTGTTGGGGGATAGAGCTCTGAGGCTTGTTGGCTTCCCTCTAGGGTTTTTTGTTTTTGTTTTTGAGGCGGAGTCTGGCTCTGTTGCCCAAGCTGGAGTGCAGTGGCATGATCTCAGCTCATAGCAACCTGCACCTCCCAGGTTCGAATGATTCTCCTACCTTAGCCTCCCGAGTAGCTGGGATCACAGGCACACACCACTATGCCCAGCTAATTTTTGTATTTTTAGTAGAGGCAGGGTTTCACCATGTTGGCCAGGCTGGTCTCAAACTCCTGACCTCAGGTGATCAGCCCACCTCAGCCTCCCACAGGATTACCCCTCTGGGGTTTACTGGGCCTGAAGTGCACTCAGCACAGTGCTGGACGCCAGGGACATGGCGGGGAGTGACACACAGCCCATCCACTCCTCAGCCTTCATGGGGAAAGCAGAGCACACAAACAAAAACTAAACATCAGTTGTTTTTGTCATCTTGGAGTGAGCACAGGCTGCTGCGGGAGCTGGCGCTAGGGGCTGTCCCAGTGGAGTAGAAGGGCTAGGGGAGGCCTGGCAGGAGCTGAAGCTTAAGCTGCCATAGGAAGCAGCTCGTGAGGAGACGAGGTGCCAGCCTACAGACTGGGAAGCACTGGGCACGGAAGCCAAGGTCACGCTGAGGCGGTGTCAGTCCAGCAGACCTTGCAGACCATCCTTACGTCTCCTGGCAGCCCAGGCCCGGTGGCACCTATCAGCAGCCTCTGAATGGCCGAAAGGTTTGGAATCTCAGTGGCTGACCAAGTACTTGAGTGAGAGCCAGCGTGGCTGGGGCCAGAAATCAAAGGTTAATGCCACCAGCGGGCCCTTCCAACACAGAATGACAAACACATGCCCTTAGGGTGTCTGACTTTGGATAACACCCTATTGTGAGCCAGCCTAGACGAGTCACCAAGAGTGACAGTCCCGGCTGTGGTTGGGGTTGGCCCCGTGGACAGGAGTGTTTGACACAGATTGTCTGAACAGCTGAAAAGTGACCAAGCCCACACTTGTATCTTAGCAGGGCACCTAGCTATTCTTTCAGGCTCTTAGTACAGGGTTGGGCTGTTTAAGAAATAGGCTCCAGCCAGGCATGGTGGCTCACACCTGTAATCCCAGCACTTTGGGAGGCCAAGGTGGGTAGGTGGATGACCTGAGGTCAGGAGTTCGAGACCAGCCTGGCCAACATGGTGAAACCCCATCTGTACTAAAAAAATACAAAAATTAGCCGGGCATGGTGGCGCATGCCTGTAATCTCAGCTACTTGGGAGGCTGAGACAGGAGAATCACTTGAACCCAGGAGGCAGAGGTTGCAGTGAGCCGAGATAGTGCCACTGCCCTTCAGCCTGGGTGGCAGAGCAAGACTGTCTCAAAAAAAAAAAAAAAAGAAAAAAAATAGGCTCCAGCCAGGCATGGTGGCTTACACATGTAATCCCAGCACTTTGGGAGGCCAAAGCAGGAGGATCCCTTAAGGCCAGGAGTTAGAGACCAGCCTGAGCAATCTAGTGAGACCCTGTCTCTATTTAATTTAAAAATTAAAAAAAAATTTAAAAAATTAAAAGAAAGGCCCTTGCTGTAGCTCCCATCTCTAGGCCAGGCCAGAGCGTGGCTGGGGAACTGTCCTGCCTGCCGAGCCAGGCCCTTTGGTGATACGTCCCCAGTTCTTCAGTAAGACAGCACAGAGAGCAGGGTGCTTGCCCCCACCTCGTGGCATGCAGGGGGTACCAGGGCAGACCTTGTGTGGGCATTAAGGCTTCAGTGGCAGCTGTGCCTGTGGCCAGGGTCACAGTCCCCCGATCTCCAGAGTATAGCTGAGGACTGAGGATGGGCACTTCCTGGGGAGCCCATGCCCCTGCCTGCTCAGAGGCACGGAGACTCTGCAGGCGTGGAGCACAGTGGCCCTCGTACCCACTCTGTCTCGAGGCCAGACAGTCAGAGGGCATGTGGGTGCCACCCGGCCTGAGCAGTGAGAACTGACCCATCATCCTTTGCCACCACTGTCCTCCCCTTGTGTCGCAAGTACCCTGGGCCCCACCTCACCTGCAGATGAGGAATTCTCATTCCGGCCTGAACCTCCGTGAGCTGTGTACACGGGCATGGGCCAGACGCCTGCTCTGGAGGACACAGGGCTGCGTGGTTTTCTTATTTTTAATTTTATTATGTTATTTTTTGATTTTTTGGAGACAGAGTCTCACTCTGTCACCAAGGCTGGAGTGCAGTGGCACGATCTCGGCTCACTGCAACCTCCACTTCCCAGGCTTAAGCCATTCTCCTGCCTCAGCCTCCTGAGTAGCTGGGATTACAGGCACCCACCACCACGCCCGGCTAATTTTTATATTTTAGTAGAGATGGGGTTTCACCATGTTGGTCAGGCTGGTCTCAAACTCCTGACTTTAGGTGATCCGCCTGCCTTGGCCTCCCAAAGTGCTGGGATTACAGGCGTGAGCCACCGCGCCCGGCTGGCTGGATGTTTTTCTAGAGATCTCCCTTCTGGAGCCTCCCTGTGAGTGGAGTCAGCTTTGAGAGAGGAACCCATGCAAAAACCCAGGTGAGTGACCCCAGCCTCAAAGGACAAAGGACGTCCTGAGCTGATGGGTGTGGGTGTGGCCCTGACTGAGGCCCTCTCCTTGCAAGGCAGAAAGAACTCCCCTGCTCAGCCACCTTTGAGGACAGACAGGACAAGGGGTGGGCATGAGCCCTGCCTGTTTGTCTGTGAGACCGTGTGTGACCGCCAGGCCCTAGGCACACTGAGTCACCACGCCTGGGAAACTCTGTGGCCTCCAGTGTTGCCTCACACCTGCCACTTCCTTTTCCTGGAGTGAATGGTGCTTTCTGTGGTGACTCCCACCGGCCTGGGATCTGCCTGCCACAGTGTCCCTGGGAGACCCTAGATCTAGACCCACATGGCACGGGGCTGTCTCCCTCAGGCAGTTTTCAACCAGGCCCCCACCCAGGGCAGACAGGCTTAGGCTGAGTGGGGTAGTGGATGGGCTGGAGCCGGGGAGAAGGGCAGCGAGGCTGGCTGGCCGCAGCCCTCCGTGGCTGGACACAACTTGGCAAGGCCAAGGGATCTGAGGGCTGGGCTGCTCTCGAGGGGTGCCAGGTTCCCAGCTTGCTGCGGGGAAATGAAGGGGGTACCGCCCTGAACTGGCACGTCTAAGCAAGGTATTGACGCTTGGATAAAGCTGGCAGCTGCCAGGAGAAGCCTTTGTGGGATGTTTTGAATCCTTCGTCATCTGAGCTGTGATGATGGAGTGGAGTGTGGCACGGGCCCACTGGAGTTCTGTGGGCTCCGTCAGCACTCGGCAGGGATTTGGACATGCAGGTTGGTAGGCCCTGCAGGAAGCCTGCTCCCAGCTTGGGGGAAGGGGGCTTGCAGAGAAACAGAAAGAACATGGGCTGTGAGGCACCTTCAGCAGCCCTGGGTTCCAATCCCAGCTCCTCCACATGGAAGCCAAGTGCCCCAGGCAGTGTTTCCCAGCCTTACTTAGGGCCAGGGTTGGGGGAATCCCACCCCGCAGGGCTGCGGTGAGGGTTGAATGGAGGGTATGTGATGTGCCCAGCGGTGCACAACAAATGGCCTCCTTTGGGTTGACAGACTTGGTTTTACTATTCCTGGATCATCACAATGATCCATGCAAGGCCAAGGCTGTTGTCTTCTGTTTCAAGTGCATTTTCCTGTCCTGTCCTCTGCCCCACGGCAGTGAACAGCTGTGGCTCTTGCCAGATTGTGTCTGCTCCTAGGCCTGTGGGAGCCAGCGGTGGCAGCAGCCTTAAGCTTGACCCATCCCTCCCGCTTCCCTGTTCCTGAGCGAGCACCTTGGAGTATCCTTGGAGTGTCCTTGGAGGCTCTGCTCTCGGGGGCAGCCTGGACCAAGACAGCGCCTGATGGCCACCCCCGTCCTCACAGGTTCACGCCTACATCATCAGCTCCCTCAAGAAGGAGATGCCCAATGTCTTTGGTAAAGAGAGCAAAAAGAAAGAGCTGGTGAACAACCTGGGAGAGATCTACCAGAAGATTGAGCGCGAGCACCAGATCTCCCCTGGGGACTTCCCGAGCCTCCGTAAGATGCAGGTATGGCTGTCCCGAGGCCCCATGCAGGCTGGTGGCCATCAGGGCAAGAGGAAGGCCGAGGGCACTGGATTTGGAGGGAATCCCATCTCCATGGGGAAGGGCCTCCCTGAACGGAAGCAGCTGGGTTAATCACCGGCACCCCACCCAACTCAGAGTTGACCCAGGCGGTGACACTGCAGAGGGGAATGTGGTGACTCACCCTGCATGGTGGGGGGAGGGCAGGGCCGTGCCAGCCGCTCTGGTGCCCTGTCCATTAATCCTTTGCTGCCGCCCTGTAAGGAAAGAGCTGGAGTTGCCTCCTGTGTACAGGTTAGAGAGTCAAGAGCCAGAGGGGTTCGCCGAGTCGCCCCTGCTAGTCGGGGGGAGCAGCACTTTCTGCTTGAGAAGCCCTCACTGGAACCACCTGGCCTGGAGTCTGGGAAGGGGCCACCCTTCCCAGCCCTTGTCTTTCCTCCCCTGCCCACAGGAACTCCTGCAGACCCAGGACTTCAGCAAGTTCCAGGCCCTGAAGCCCAAGCTGCTGGACACGGTGGACGACATGCTGGCCAACGACATCGCGCGGCTGATGGTGATGGTGCGGCAGGAGGAGTCCCTGATGCCTTCTCAGGTGGTCAAGGGCGGCGCCTTTGACGGTACCATGAACGGGCCGTTTGGGCACGGCTACGGCGAGGGGGCCGGCGAGGGCATCGATGACGTGGAGTGGGTGGTGGGCAAGGACAAGCCCACCTACGATGAGATCTTCTACACGCTGTCCCCTGTCAACGGCAAGATCACGGGCGCCAATGCCAAGAAGGAGATGGTGAAGTCCAAGCTCCCCAACACCGTGCTAGGGAAGATCTGGAAGCTGGCTGACGTGGACAAGGACGGGCTGCTGGACGACGAGGAGTTCGCGCTGGCCAACCACCTCATCAAGGTCAAGCTGGAGGGCCACGAGCTGCCCGCTGACCTGCCCCCACACCTGGTGCCGCCCTCCAAGCGCAGGCATGAGTGATGGCACCTGGCCCCGCACCTGCCATCTGCATGCCCGGCTGGGAGGCAGAGACGGGGGGAGGGGAAGGCTCACCATTTCTCAAGGTCCATAAAGACTGAGCGGATGTTTCCTCGCCTCTCGAAAAGGAAAACCACCATCTTTATTTTAAGGCTGTTCCTGGGCCTGGCGGGGGAGGCAGGGGTGAGATGATGGAATTTTGTGCACAAGAACTATGGATATTTTAATATATAACGTTAGAGGCAGCGTTCTTTGTCGCCGCCTCCTCTGTGTGACAGCCACATGTGCACAGCCTCTGCCCCCCACCGGCCTTTGCTCTGCTCTGGCTGCAGCTGGACAGTGCAGCGACTGTGACCGCAGGGGAGCCAGGTCGCCCTTTTGGCAGCTGCTAGGCTGGGACTGCATGGACAGGAACACCGGGCACCCTCCGTTTGCTTCTGAGCTGAGGTTGCTTCACGGGGCCGTGGCTTCCTTCCTCACCCGGCTCTGCCTCCCCGGGCTCTCGGGCGAAGTGGGTTCTTGTGCCTTCCCCTCCCTGGCCCAGGCTCCCCGTGCGCGGGCCCTGCCCTTTCCTCCCACGCCCCACCGGCTCCGATGCGCCACCCCGCTCAGCAGTCACAGAAGCAGGGCCCAGCAGCCTTTTTCAGGGGTCCAGGGAGCAGGAGAACCATCTTCCAGAAAAATACATAAGCTAGTTTCTGTTCTGTAAAGTGACATCTTTCATACTTGACCAAATTTCCCAGTAACTTCCCAACCACTGTTCAAAAGCTGTGATTTTTGTCTCCCCTTCCCACCCTCCAGCCAAGGGCAGTCCTGCCCAGGGGGCATTAGATGTGGGTACCCGGGGAGCACCCCCTTCCTGGACCCCAGCGTTGCGTTTCCTGGCTGAGGAAGGGTGGTCATCCCAGCTCCTGCCCCACCCTCTCACTTAACTGGAGCTTTGGGAAGTGCCCTCCACAGTGGGAGGTGGGTGGTGGGTGAGGGCTGGCGGGGCCTCATGACAGCTTGGTGCTGGTAAGAGGAAGCCCATGGTTCTGGCCAGGCTCTTGTGTCCAGACAGCGGGGACCAGGGGAAAACCCAGTCCCTTCTGTAATCCCCCTTCATTTCCTACCTTCCTTCCTCCTCTGTTTAGCAAAGGAGGGCAGCTGACTTGGATGTCCTTAGAACGCCCCGGCCCCAGGCTGAGCAATAAGAAACCGGAGCCTTGCGGCCCAGTGGCCTGGGCCAGTTCAGGCCACCTCCCCCTCCTCTGCCTGGGGCCATTGAGCCCAGCCTCCAGGGCCCCAGCGCATTCACAGGCCAGCGGCCACTGTCCAGGCTGTGATGGCACCGAGGCAGGTGGAGCACCGGGCGCCACACAGCTGGGCTTCCCACCAGGCTCTCCCGCGGGGGTCTCAGGGAGCTTCCCCCTAGCGCTGCTTGGAGTCTGCAGGAACTGTCCTTGTTCTCCCTAGCCCATCACTCCATACAGTATTAGGTGAGGATGGATGGGCGCTGTCCTCGCCAGGAAGTCACTGTGGAAGTTGCAGTGGCTTGTTCATACCTGTGGGAAGAAAAGTGAAGACTTTCCCCTTGCATTAAAAAGTCTGAACTGTGCCGAAGCTTCGGGTGCTTCCTTGTCTTTTCCAGGGGCAGCAGTCCTGGGTCGTCCTCCCCTGGTGTCTGCGGGGGCGATGCCAGCAGGGACAGAGTGGCAAGGCCGCCGGGGCAAGGTGACCAACCCTGCCCAGTCCTGCTCTGCTGGGCAGTAGCTGCCCCCTCCTACCAAGAGGGCCTGGCCTGCGGGGAAAACGGTTTCCAGGGGATGATGCCCCCTTCCCTGTGTGAGGTGGGAGCTGAGCAGGAGTTCACTTGGGGTGAGAGGGGGAAAGCAGTTGGGAGAATGTTGATAACTGAGGCCTAGGCTGGCACCCCTCAGCCACAGACAGATGAGTGGGCACCTGCGGGGCCCTCGGCACTGGGTGGCGTCAAGTAAACAAGGGCTTCTGGGCTCTGGAGCCAGCCTGGGTCCTTGCTAGCCCCAAGGGCGGTTTAAATACAGGGAAGCTGGGCCTCTGAAGACAAAGCAGATAGCCCGTGACAAACATGCAAGTAAGGGTGGGGCCAGTCAGGCCCAGGTGATGTCACAGATGGGGGACTGTTTATACCAGCAGAGGGAAGGGTGACCCATTAGTGACCCTTCATAAAAGGGTGCAGACTTGAGGTGCCATGGGTGCAGGCTGCCCCAGCCCCTCTGGCAGAAGAAGGTAGGACAGAAACGGGCCTGAGGGTCTCAGGGACCCAGGTGCGTGCTCTGCGCCTAGCCGGTGTGGTGGCGTCTGGTCCTATGACCAGTACTTGAAGTGCCAGTGGATGCTTCAATTGCTGCAGGGCTGACCGGTCCTCCCTGCGCCACTCAGCCGCCACCTGTGGGCATTCGCCCTGTGCCAGGTGGAGCTGCACCCTCACAATCTGAGGAAGTTCACGTTCCCCCATTTCACAGAGGGAGAGTCCAAAACTGAGGACCACCGAAATAACAAAAGTGGTAGAAGTGGATTCAAACCAGGCCATCCAATTCCAGCATGCTTTCCATCGGGCTACTAATCCAAAGCACACACTAAAAGGAAAAAATGGTAGATCCCCCCAACCCCATCCTTAGACTGCAGCTGTACTCAGGGCTGAGAGACCCACATTAAAGGTTAAGAGCTGTCACTCCAGCCTGGGGTCCTGAAAGCTTGGGGCAGGGGTCACCCAAGAGAGGTGGAGCACATTAGAGAAGGCACAGAACGTAGCAGTGCCCCTGCGTGGCACAGGGAAGGCCAGAAGGGAAGTGCTGCCTGGCCGCCCGCTCTCCTTCCCTGAGCACTCCACCTGCAGGACTCTGTGGGGTGACAGAGGGGCTGTGAACCCCCTGGGGCTGCCCCAGGAAGTGCCTGCTGATCTGAGGCTTGAAAGGGGCCGAGGGCAGGTGTCTGCCACAGAGTTCATAGCCCTGGTTTCGGTTCTATAGGTTGGGGGTCATCTTTGGGCTGTGATGGGGGTTCAGGGAGGGCCAGAGGATGTGGTCAGAGATGTGGCCGCCCACCTGGAGGGCTAGCCCCCACGCTTGCCTCCTCCCCAGCTCCCTAGCTGGCCAGGACCCTGGGGGAGAAGCCCCCTCTTCGGAGGTTGGCCTGGGGCAAAGGAGGGGCATTGCCACCCAGCTCCCAGAGCCCCTGGACTGAGGCCTTCGGGGCAATCTGTCCTGGGTCCCACCCATGCAGCACCTCACAGCCCAGGACCCAAGAGGCAAAGGGCCCGCCGCCCACTGCCTCTGGCCATGCACAGCTGTTTTCTATGTTGCAGTTCCTTGTACAATCTCATTCAGAACAAACATTTCTGGCTGGATTTGGCTCACACCTGTAATCCCAGCACTTTGGGAGATCAAGGTTGGGGATGGGGTGGGGTTGTGTGGGGTGGGGTTGTGTGAGGCCGGGAGTTCAAGACCAGCCTGGGCAACACAGTAAGACCCCCCCCATCTCCACCAAAACAAAAATTAGCTGAGAGTGGTGATGGGTGCCTGTAGGTAGTCACAGCTACTAGAAAGGCTGAGGTGGAAGGATCACTTGAGCCTGGGAGTTTGAGGCTGCAGTGAGCTATGATGGCACCGCTGTACTCCAGCCTGGGCAACACAGTGAGACACTGTCTCTATTTAAGAAATTTTTAAAAAATAAACATTTCTTCTCCTTAGAAAACAAGCTAACCGCAAATCCAATCAGTGCCCTGTTCTTAATCTCAAATGAGTGTTCTAGAAGAATAGCCTAGTAAAAAATAATGGCCGCCCAGGGTGGCTCACATCTGTAATCCCAGCACTTCGAGAGGCCGAGGAGAGTGGATCACTTAAGGTCAGGAGTTCGAGACCAGCCTGGCCATTGGAAGGCCAAGGCACAAGAATCACTTGAACCCAGGAGGCAAAGGTTGCAGTGAGCCAACATCACACCACTGCACTGCAGCCTGGGCGACACAGCAAGACTCCGTCTCAAAAATAAATAAATAAAATAAAATAAATCAAATGGGCTAGTCATAGGACTTCCCCCGCCATGGACAGCAAGGTGATGACAGTTGGGAGGTGAGGACACCCGGCCACCACTCTTGTTCCTGTATCCCAGCGTACCAGGTCTGGCAGCACACGGAGGGCAGCCTTGGGGAGACCGCCCTGAGTTCAAATCCGAGCTCTGCCACTCTAGCCAGCCCTCTTCCCCCACTAAGGCTGTTTCCTCAAGCCCTAATTCAGGAACAGACGCGGCCCACAGAGGCAGAGCCCGAGGACACCCACCTTGAGTGGCCTTTGCCAAGCACCCCAGGGAGGTTAGTTGGGTGGGGTGCAGGGAGTAGGGCACCTCACCCAACACCCAGAACAAAACAGGCGGGACCTACCCTTCCCTGAAGCAGCCCGCAGACTCAGCGGCGCCTGTAGGCCAGAGAGGTGGTGGCCAAGGGGGCTGGGGCCTGGCTTCCTGTGCACCCAGAGGGACTGATAATTGTAAAACCACATGGGGCTGCAGCCGCTGCAGAGCGTGGGAGCCCCTATGGCTTTTGGAGCAGTGCAGGGAAGGTTTTTGGAAGA